GGTCAGGGGCCCGGGGTGGAATCGAATTCGAATAGTATTCATGTACGCGCGTAAATAGGGAAAAGAAGAGATCCGAGAGAGACAATGAACGACGATCCAACGACGATGATGGAGGACGATGAGAGGTAAGAAAAAGAGAGGAGTAAATGAGGTATTCGATTATATGTAGCGATGCATGGACGATCGAACGGGGGACGAGACGATGGCTCGAAACTATCGGCGAACTACGCCGACGGTTCTAATTGCGCTAATTATAGTTCCTACAAGTCACTCCGAAGTCTGAGGCTCTTCCCCCGTTGATGCTAGCGCGACAGAACGACGAGAATTCGAAAGTCCTTCCGAACTTTTGAAGGTTCAAGTACGTGAAAAACGTTACGACGCGAAAACGCGAGGATTCGAAATGTGAAAGCTTGAAAAGTTCGATAATTCATAACCGCAAAGAGTTAACGTACAAGGATTCGAAGGTACAGAAGTTTAAAAGTTCCAAAAATTCAAGAAACGCTAGAATTCGATCCTGGATTTTTGGAATTCGCAAGGATTCGAGAAATCGTGAACGTGGAAGTTTGAAAGCTTGAAAATTCGGAAACGCGAGGATTCGAAAAGTTCGTAAATTATATTATGTTAAATTGACACTTGGGTATGTTAATTCAACACAAAATTTAATAAAGTCTGGTTTTAACACAAGTACAAAATGTTTCTTACTGTAAAAAGATACAAGATTCCGAAAAATCAAAAAATTTTAAAAACGCTAAAATTTAATAAGATAATTTTAAAAACTGCGAAGAGATCCGAGAAATCGCGAAAACAGAGATTCAAGAAAAGCAGAGGACAGGCGTGCGGAAATTAGAAGAGAGAATTTCAGGACTCATATAAGCGTAGGGACGTTGGAGGATTCAGGATACCAGAAGTTGTATGCGCACGGATTCGTCATAAAACCATCGTTACGCCATCGGGCTCTCGCCCTCCTCGTCGAATCCGGTACTCCATCCAGAACACGAACAGCGCGTTATGTACCACCCTACAGGGTGTCCCAGAATTCCCGTTACACCTGTTAATAGCAGATTCCTGGGATCATTTTAAGGTGAAAATCCTAATATCAAAATGTCGATACTACAGTAGTTTTTAAAGTTAGCCAAATAAACTGTTTGAAATTCGCGCGCTCAAACATAGCACATTGTTTAGAAGAATAGAAGAGAATAGAGAAATGATGCATCTTCACTATTTTCTCCGCTATTAACAGTGTCATGCGAAGTCTGGAATTTCAGAATCCTCAAGTAACAGACTTAACACTATTTAGATGCTTTCTAGTTGGGTCGCCATATTTTACAGGACTAAGATAGAATGATATAAATAATACATAAAGGATAAAACCCGACCTCCTTCTATCTTACGCATCTATTTTATTTTGTCTCAATTTCGAAAAATATAGCGGATCAAACGTATGGTGTCTGGTCTCTTACTTGAAGATCTTTAGAACACCCTGTATATCTGCTATGTGGGTCACCGTCGCGGGGGGTTTTATGAGCACGAATCACCGCGTCGCGTCGCGTTTATCGTGACGTTATCCCACGGGACAAGGCGGTCACGTGTATATATCCGATGTTAGATATACCGGACGGGTGATCGAAGTATCCGGGGGTGAGAGCGTAATTTCTCTCGAGCTTTACAGGATCCGTGAGAAGCTTCCGTTGCAATATCGGGAGTCTACGTTAAAAAAAAAGGGTCTCCGAAAATCCTCAAGAGGCACATGTCTACGCCCTGCACCTGTCTCCGTTAAAAGAAATCTGATACAGCCAGATAACGCAGAATCGATACGATCGAATCATGTTTCGCGAATATCAGATATCTGACATACGTTGTTATTGTTCGTATCGTCAATTTCGTATCAAGACACTCTTGACGTTTGTGTATATCTTCTTTTTTATTATTGACTCGAGGTATATGTAGTACATCTCGCGGGAAACGAGGACCTTTTTATCGCGCCTGATTTATATCATCGTATGAAGAAATTTTAATATATGTAGAGATTTCATCATACTCTCGTGTTTAATGATTTTCCTCTTTAGATTTAGTGAAGTGAGTCTTAAAGATGTCTGTCCCGTTTTATAAAAAATCATCGCTTATTTATATTATATAATAACAACGTAAATTAAAAATTATTGTTTTTAGTTTCTTGCACAGAAAAAGAAAGGAAAAAAATTTTTAACTATCTTAAATTACGTTATGACTGACCAATCATATAGTGTATTGTTATTTACCCTAATTTGACTTATTCCAGATGTATGTTTCCTCGTATAGGTTTTCTACAATAAGCCACTACCTCAGCTTTAAATCTGAAGCTGTAAGAAATTAATCAATCGTAGTCGATTTCTTATAGCTTATAATTTACAACCTAGGTAATGGCTTATTGTAGAAAGCCTCAGAATGCATCATCTACAATATACAGAGTAAGAAGTAAGAGTAAGAAATTGAACAATCTCACAGTCGATTATTCTTCTCACATTCGACTGATTGTTTGTCAATTTCCATGTATTGTAGACGGCGCATCAAACTTGTGGATTATAATTCTTTGCTTTATACTTACGAGTATAATTCTGACACTCGCCACTAATATGATATGAGTGATGACTAACGGCTTATTGTAGACAGTTTATAAGAGTTCATCTGATGAAAAATAGATATTATTTCCTCCTCGCTCGTCACGATGACGCGTCGCGTATCGCATTCGTGCCTAACAGCCGATGAAGATGAGCGCAGTGCCGCGTAAAATTGCCTCTGGCCCCCCCGAGCGACGAGGCCGATTACGACGACTCTGCAATTCGCATTCGTCTACCTCCGCATCCGCCGTTTCCCGCCACTGCTATGTGTGCGCCATACGTATCTACCTACGCGGCAGAGTAGTGAAATGGGGTCCGCAATTCGATCTATACGGTCCGATACGCGCGCACGACTCGCAACTCCGCGTCACAGCAGTCGATCGCACTCGTAAAAGGCAGGAGGGATAGAAAAAAAAGACAGTACAATAAAAAAAAAAAATTCGTCCATCTCTTGCGCTATGTCTTCTCTCTTCCTATCCGCGCGCGTCACTTTTGATATCTCTCACTCGCTCGAGTTATTCCGCGTCGCGTAAAGTCGCGCGCGAATAAAATCTCGCTCGAAGGTGTAGATGTTCGCTTTTACGTCAGCTTTTACGTCGGTCTCTTCCCTTGCGTGCGAGAGGAAAGAAAAGAAGGACGCTCTATCTCCCCTTATGGAAATCCAATTTTACTCTCCGTCTGCAATCTGGGTCTTTTTTGGCATATACAAGAAATAAAATTTCACCCTCGAATTTCTCCGAAATATAAAGGAGGACGGAGTCAGGTCTCCCCTTAAAATATCTTATTAAAAACTATTTGGAAATATAACAAAGATGTAGACTTGAATTTTTTTTAAGTCTAAAATGGTAAAAAAAAACTTTGGCTGAACGGAGAGAGTAAAGAACGATTTTGTTGAAATATCTAAAAATTTAATTACATACAGATCTGAAAATAATTTGGTTGGACCGTCAAAATAATTACATTGATCTCAAGCATGATTAGATTGATAAGTAATGCTGCACTGAACAAACAATACTTTTAACTCTAATTGGTCTTGGCTTTGTTTCCTTAATTATTTATGAATCCAATAAACTTCAAATTAATGTATTTTTGATTAAAATTAACGCAATTGAACAATTTTCTTTTATTTTAAAAATCAAAATCCAAGAAATAAGATTATGTAAAGATGATGTAAAAAATTTTGTTACAAACAATTTTTCACGACGTAAATGAAGAAAATGTCCCTTAGTATACCAATTAGGGTAATAATACTTAAAATAAATAATTAATCATTATACCACCCGTTATTAAAATTTCTAAAAATGATAGCCGCATCCTGCGCCACGAAAAATCGACGAGATCGATCGATCGGAAAAGCGTGACGTATTTCCGGTCGCTATAAGATGCAAAAGTTTATCTAACGTCCTGTATTCTTTGTCCTACAGTCTGTTACGATCTTATCATGGAACACGTAGGAATGGATTCCGATCGGAATTATTTAATTATTTTCTAAATTACTATTGTATTTTCTAAAGAAAACGCAATAATTCCAAGCGAAATCCATTCCATTCTTCTATGATCTGCGATCCACGTCCTATGCATAATATAGATATAAGAAAACTAGATGTTTTGTATAATAACAGTTAAATATAATTTTGGGGCGAATTTCTTATTGGTATAAGTACATCTCTAATAGCTCTATATTGGCTTATAACAGTTTGGGTTAACTTTCTGATTGATTATCAACTGCGCATTTTGAGAATAAAATACCTCCCCAAGAAACACACACGAGTCAACAAAAAATCAAAGTGACATTAAAATGACTTTA